ACACACACACACACACACACACACACACACACACACACACACACACACACACACACACACACACACACACACGAGCAGAATCATTATGGTCTGCCTTCATCTTCAGTGGCTGGAGAAAATTAATTCATATAGACAGCAGAGCAAACAAAACAACAACACTAAAACTATAATCTTATTGTACAGCAGTAATATTTTCCACCAGCAGGGGACAGTAAAAGACTGCTGGCAACATTTTTGACAATCATTTTCTTTTCTTTTTCCTTTTCCAGAGCTGCAGTTTGTGTAAAAACTTATCTTAAAGATAAGATGAGAGTGCTTAGCTGAGGGGGTCAGTGCAAATTAACCTCTGTCTGAGAATCAGAGCTGCAAACACAAGAACTGGAGACACATTCAGAGGTCAAACATTCTGCTCAGGCTCACAGTTATTCTGTCATTCACACCACACTTTTTAAAAATTGGCTCCTTCTTAAATTTATTTTTTCTGGATGTTAAAGCAATATTTTGTTTGGCAATTCCTGAGTGGGTTCATACTCAGCACCTTTCATGCTGGAGTTTCAAACTAAGATCAGATTCTGTTGAGAAGCGACAGAGCTGGAGCTTCATCTAAACCTGTAAATAACATTCGTTATCACCGGCAGTGCAATAATACCACCAAATTTAGCTCAATGTCTAAAATTTTAAATATTGTTGTGCTGTCAAAGGTCTATTAGCAGTGGCAGCCATCTTGGATTTGGTGACATATAGATGTATAATCACGACTTTCTGTTTGGTGGTTCATGAACTACTTTGCAAACAGGTGGAAAGACTTGACGTCAATCTAAAGGCTAAACGTTAAGCTCACAAAAAGTTGTATCTTTTGAAGTATGTGTGAGTAATCCTCACCTTTTACCACACCAAATTTAAATGTGTTTTCTGTAAAACTGTCTGAGTTATAGCTTTTTTATCATTTACCAAGGTCACCTATCTGTGGCAGCCAACTTGAATCAAGTTGAGCTCAAAAGTTAATCAGCTACAGATGTCAATCCAAAGATCATTTTCTGAAAGTTTCATTAAAATCCAAGTAGCGATGAGTGAAATATTTTGCTAACAAGACAGGTTGACTCTAAAAGTTAATGACAAAGTTTGAACCCAAAGCATAGAGCTCACAGTATGTGTTGGAGGTGATGCTCAGCTACTGCCTCACCAAACTTAAGCTCGATGTTTGTCACATTGGCTGAGTGGAACACATTTTTTGCTTTTGGTAAGTTCAGCTGTGGCGTCGTCTTGAATTGGTTTGATTACAGAGGTTATTTGGGTAGATGTCCATTTACCGATTATTTCCTGAGAGTTGAATACAAATATAAAGATATATTGCTAACAGACAATGAAAGTTGACTTCAGTAAAAGTTAAAAAAATCTGTTAGTGCTCCAAGCCTGTTTTGATGATCATTCTCAGCTACTACCACTCCAGCTTTGCATTTTTATTTATTTATTTATTTATTTGTTGGATCTGAGATTTCAGATCAGTGCCGGAGAAAAAGGTGTTTTATTATTTATTGCAGTTTTATTGGAATGTTTAACTTATTCTTTTCAGAGAAAAAAATTGTAAATACATTTTGAATTTTTTTGGTTTATTATTTATAAATAATGTAACATAATGTACTTCTTCTTTTTACTGCACAATACGACACTCACACCAAAATGAAGAAGCAAGAAGAGAGAGAGACACCAGAGGAGTGAATGTGGGTCTCAGAAAAGCAAAAACTGAACTTGTAAAAACAAAAAACTAAAAAAAAAGTCTTTTTCCTACTCTTTGTATTTGCTTTGTATTTGATTAAGTGCTGATAATAATCAATTAAAATATGTTTTTTTCTGAACTGCCTTTGGTCCAACGTGCTTTTGAGGTGAATGATGCAGGTGTTTTACAGCAGCTGACAAGAATTTTTGAATTTTACGTTAAACTGTATATATCAAAACATAACATTTCTTGAAGGAATTCATGTTCAAGTATACAGTTCAGTTTCTGTAAAACTGACTGAGAAATACCTGTTTTTATATTAACTACACTGATAAGCTCTTGTGTCTATCTTGAATTGTGTAGACTCCAAAAAATAAATCATTTCTAAAGGTACAGCAGGTAAAATAAGTATTGAACACGTCAACATTTTTCTCAGTAAATATATTACTAGAGGTGCTAATGACATGAAATTTTCACCAGATGTNGTGGCGGCCATCTTGAATTGTGTTGTGTTGTAGGTGTTTGCTGTTTTTACACTGTTGGACATTACTGCATTTTCTAACATGAAGCTGTTCAAACAGTTATCTACAGCAGGTTAGATACTATTTCTTAACATTTCCTCAGAACCCTCTTCGAAATAGCTGGAATATTACTTTATGGTACGGATTTTATTCTGATGCAGTGATGCAGATGAAGAAATGACATTTGATTTTTCTTTCTTCCACCAGTTAAATTGCCGTCCTCTGCTTGTTTAAGTAATGTAATTACCTTTTTCCTTGGAGTCCATGATTATGATCAGATGCCGAGAAGTAAAACGGAGCCGGAGTGGTTCTGGTCCTCTCATTTAATCAGCACTTTACATAATCACGTTACTCCTTCCAATTAAACCCCATCTGCCCAGAAAAGGCTGTCTTGCAGGCTGGGCTCATCAGTTAAGTCATGTTGTAAAACCCACTTCAAACCGGTGACTTTACTGCCCCCTCAAACACACAAAGATCCGTTAAAATAATTGATTAGGTCAAACGATAAAGATAATCTGAGCAGCAGCCTTTGTCTGCTCCTGGGAGCCCCGAGATAAAACACGGTGCCTTTAACTGACCAGCTCCATCTGATAAAAGTACATCCTGCCTCAGACAAGGGAAGTAGTCATCTGTCCAAAATAAGTCAATGTTTTAGAGAAAAACTGTAGCAAAGAATTTTATTTATTTTATTTTTGCCGCACTGCTGAGAAGGACAAAAATAGAAGAAGGAAAAAAAACAATGAAAAAGAAGGTAAAGAAAATGCATGGATGAAAAGAATTTTTCGTACAAGGGTCTGGACTTGCTGCATAGAGAAGGGATTCTTGCTGGAGGCGTGGCCTCTGCTGAAGCATGTGTGTGTTGTCGCTGTGACGGAGGCTAAGCTGAGAAGCTAACCGGAAATCGCGTGTGCTCTCTGCGGACGAGTGGGCGTGTCACAAGGAAAGGCGATTCTAAAGCGACACACCTGATTTGACGGACTTTTTGTTAAAGGGACACACCTGACTGGACAAGCAAAAAGGGGCGATACCGTATGGCACCACCGGATTGGACAAAAACAAAAGGGGCGTTACTGTACGGCACCACTTTTTCTGGAGAACCCTATTTGGGTCACATTTCTCCTGGTTAAGCTTAGTGTTGGGGTCAGGGGTCAGGCTGTAAAGAGATCAAGCAGGATCTAAGGATGCTGTCAAGTAGGCCTCGTAGCCCACAGTGTTTATGCTTTTGACACGCCCACTCTTGTGACACGCCCACTTTGATTCCGCAGATAACCCCTTCTCGTGCTGTAAACAACCCTACTGAGGGGAGAAATAAACCGAGCCGAACGAGACGGCTGTAAATGAAAGCTGCTGCTTTGTCAGACAAATGTATTTTAATTTTGAAGCCTTATCAACATGGACTGGCTTGATTCACTTCCTCCACTGCTGTATGCTAAACTAACTAGCAGGCATGGCAGAACATTGACGTCATTCAAAACTCCGCCTTCTGTTCTCTAATTGGCCCAGGTAAAATAAACTACAAGCAGACACTGCGCATAAAAAATCAACATTCTGTTCTCTGATTGGCCAGGCTAAAAATCTGCCAATGAAATCCTTGTCTATGGGAGAAGTCCCAGACGGAGCAGAGAAGAGAAACTAGAATAGAACGGAGCTGCGTAGGAAGGCAAGGACCACAACACAAACTTAACAGAAAATGCACAAATATTCTCTCATCATGACAACATGAAACCCTCAGAACCGTACACACTGGATGGAGATCTACAAGGTGAAGTAAACCCAGTTCAAGATGGTCACTACGGCTAGTTGGCATTAGCTGATATGGCTACAGCTTTACAGACTTTGAGGTAAAGTTTGATTTGATGGTAGAAGCTGAGATTCACACATTCTAAGTGTTAAACTGCATGCTGTGTATATTTAGATTCAGATTCAGATTCCCTTTATTGTCATTCAAACGTTACATCAGGGAAAAACTATAGAACAAAATTATGATGCATAATAGCACAAGACAAAACCAGCTTGATAAACTATAAAGCATACGGTCAGTTTTACAGGTATATAAAC